AAACACTTTTGAGGGACAGCGTAGCAGGGGTAGGGGTCTGGGGACCATGCTTTCAGGGGATATCTAGGTCAATTGGCATAATAAAGCTTATTAAGAAAATGTTCTGCATCCTACTTTGGTAAGTGGCATCTAGGGTTTTAAAAGCTTACAAGCGGCCATCTAAGATGCATCAATTGGCCCTAATCCACCTGGAGTAACGGAGAATGAAGAACACCAAAGACAAATGGAAAGTAGTAGCCCAAGAGACAGAAAGAGCCACATAAACCAGAGATTTCATCAGCCCGAGACCAGAAAAACCAGATGGTGCTTGGCTACCACCAATGACTGCCCTGACAGAGAATACAACAGAGAGTCCCAGATGGAGCAGGAGAAAGGTGGGGTGCAGAACTCAAATTCTAGTAAGAAGATCAAACTTAATGGTCTGAGACTGGAGGAACCCTGGAAAGCATGGTTCCTGGATTCCCTATCAGCCCAGAACTAAAACAATTTCCGAGGCCAACTCTTCAGACAGGGACTGGACTGGACTGTGGGACATAAAGTGATACTCGTGAGGAGTATGCCTCTTTGCTCAAGTAGATACAAGAGACCAAACAGGCAGCTTTTATCTGGAGGTGAGATGGGAAGGCAGAGAGGGTTAGGAGATGGTTGAATGGACATGGGGAATTAAGGGTGGAAAGGGGTAGTGTGCTGTCACAGTATGGGGAGAGCAATTAGTCACATAACAATGTATGTATAAATTTTTGTATGGGAAAAAGAAAAAAGAAAATGCAGGGGCAATGATGTCAGGCCTAGCTCTTTACAATGAATTATTTTATATAACAACAAAAGCACAAACAGCAAAAGACAAAATAAATAAACAGAACCTGATAAAAATTAAAAACTGTTGTTCTTCAAAAGACTTTACCAAAAAAGTAAAACAACAAGCTATCAACTGGGAGAACATCTTCAGAAACCGTATATCTGATAAGAATCTAAGAATCAAAATATATATAAAACTTTAACAACTTAAAAACAAGTAGACCAATAACCCAATCACAAAATGGACAAAGGAACTGAATACACATTTCACCAAATCAGACTTTCAAACACCCAAGAAACACATGAAAAGATGTTCAGCATCATTAACCATTAGAGAGATGCAAATCAAAACCATAGTGAGGCACCATTTCACTCCCACTAGGATGGCTAAGATTAAACAAACAAACAAACAGAAAATAACAAATGTTGGCGAGGATGTGAGGAAAGTGGAACCCTTATCCACTGCTGGTGGAAATGCAAAATGGTGTAAGTGTTGTGGAAAACAGTGTGGCGGTTCCTCAAAAAACTAAAAATAGAACTACCATATGACCCAGCAATTCCACTCCTACGTATGTACCCAAAAGACTTGAAAGCAGAAACCCAAAGAGGCTTGTACACCAATGTTCATCGCAGCACTATTCACAATAGCCAAAAGGTGGAAACAACCTAAATGCCCACCAATAGATAAACAGATAAACAAAATGTTGTACATACAGACATACAGTGGAATACTACTCAGCCAGTAGGAGAAACAAAGTCTTGATACATGCTACAGTATGGATGCAGCTTGAAGACATTATGCTGAGTGAAATAAGTCAATCACAAAAGGACAAATATTGTATGACCTCACTTATATAAAAAGATAATAAAAGGCAAATGTACACAGACCAAAGTTTATCAGTGGTTACAGGGGCAGGAGGGAGGGGAAAAGGGGGGGAGGGTTAATGGTGATGGAAAAACCTCAATGATTAAGTGTACGGTTATTGTAATTGCTGTCAATCAGTCGTACACTTGTAAAAAGCTGAATTGGTCAAAGTGATGTGTCATGGACCTTCCTCCAGAGCTGACAGAGAGAGAAAGCCTTCCCCTGAAACTGACACCTTGAATTTGGACCTCTAGCCTACTAGACTATGAGAAAATAAATTTTTCTTTGTTAAAGCCATCCACTTGTGATGTTTCTGTTAGAGCAGCACTAGATGACTTAGACACAATTTGGTACCGAGAGAGGCGGGTGCTGCTCTAACAGATACCTAAAATGTGGAAGCGGTTTTGAAACTGTGAATGGATAGAGGACCAGCAACAGCAGAGGACCTGCAGCAGCAGAGGACCTGCAGCAGCAGAGAAGCAGCAGTGGCAGGAACCACCAGTAGCAGAACTTAGAGACCAGCACGAGATGGTGCTGGAGCTGACCTGACCCATGGAGCGAGAGAGCTGAGTGCCTGTGTGCAGGAGGCTTCCTGGTGGAGTGGGGTGCCTCCGGGCACTTATCAACAGAGCTACAGGGCTTTGGAACACTTGCCCCAGCAGGTTAGATGTGGGTGTGAGGCCTGAAGAGCAGAGAGACCAAGAAACCAGGAAGCAGACGCTGAAGAAACAAGGAACACAAGAAACCGCGCAGCCTCAGTTGCAGAAGGTATGGCCTCAACCTTTGGGGTTTCAAAGGGTGAAGCCATGGCCTCTGGTGTTTCTAAGGGTGGAGTCACCACTCAGATGGGTAGGAGAATGGTGCGTTTAAAGCCAAGGGAGCAGAGTTGCTGTCCCAGTGGGCCTAGAAGGCCGAGCTGAAGTCCAGGGCCGAGGGGCCTCCACTCACAATCTGGACAGCGTGGCCAGTACCTAGAGTCTGGAGGGCAGGGCCATTATGTAAATTGTCTCAGAGAACAGAAGATTATTTTCAACGCCTTGAGGGCTAATGCAATGTGTTCTGCTGACTTGCTTGGTGCCTGTTATCCCTTCTTTTCCTCCAGTTTCTCCCATTTGTAATGAAAACATCTAGCTTGTGCCTGTTCTGCCATTGTACCTTTGGAAGCAGATAACTTGTATTCTAGATTTCACAGATAAAGAGGAATTTTTGGATTTTTGGATTTTGGACTTGGAGTCAAGACTTTTGCTATGATATGCTGGGATGAATATGTTCCGCATGTTCCAAGGATATGATTTTCTGGGGGCCAAAGGGTAGAATGTCATGGACTGGATTATGTCCCCCAAACGTGTGTATCAATTTGGCGGGGCCATGATTCCTAGTATTGTGTAGTTGTCCTCCATTTGGTGATTGTAATTTTATGTTAAAGAGCATCAGGGCGGGAATGTAGCACCCTTACTAAGGTCACATCCCTGATTCAATGTAATGGGAGCTTCCCTGGGGTGTGGCCTGCACCACTTTTTATCTTACAAGAGATAAAAGGAAAGGAAACCTAGCAGAGAGTGGGGGGACCTCATACCATCAAAAAAGCAGTGCCAGGAGCAGAGCATGTCCTTTGGACCCAGGGTTCCTGTGCAGAGATGCTCCTAGTCCAGGGAAGAACTGATCACAAGGACCCTCCTCCACAGCCGACAGAGAGAGAAAGCCTTCCCCTGGAGCTGACGCCCTGAGTTTGGACTTCTAGCCTACTAGACTGTGAGAAAATAAATTTCTCTTTGTTAAAACCATTACTTGTGGTAGTTCTGTTGGAGCAGTACTAGATGACTAAGACATGATGTGATATATTTACAACAACAACAAAAAGGAGTAGCTGCTGAGGGTGCTTATGTATAACCAAAAACATTATGGGATGTGGTTCCTTCGTTTAGAGGTTTTTAGGTCATGATTTCATGAGATATCCCAGTTGATTGGCCTAATAACGTGTTTACTGCTTCTGTTCTAACTCCTAGTTCGTGGTGCAGTGCCTGGGATCTTAAAAGCTTGCAAGCAGCCATCCAAGGCACAATAATTGGTCTCTATTCATGTGGAGCAACAGAAGAAGGAGAGTCAAGAATAGAAGGAAATGGAAAGTGTGGCTAATTGCCTCATGAACAACTGCCTCCTTTGCCATGAGACCAGAAGAACCGGATGGTACCCAACTACCATTACTGTACACTTTGATCAAAGATACCATAGAAGAATCCTGATCAAAAGAGGGAAAATGCAGAATAGAATTTCAAATTCTCAGAGCCTCTAGATTTCTGGAGCCATGGATGCTGGGTGAACCCCTAAAACTACTACCCTGAGATAATCTTTTTTTAATTGTGATTTAAGTGAAAGTTTACAGTTCAAGTTAGTTTCTCATACAAAAATTTATGCACACATTGTTACATGATCCTAGTTGCTCTCCCTATAATGTGACAGCATACTCCTCCTTTCCACCCCAGATTTCCCACGTCTACTCAACCAGCTCCTGTCCCTTTCTGCCTTTCCATCTCAGCTCTGGACAGGAGCTGCCCTTTTAGTGTCATGTATCTACTTGAGCTAAGAAACACTCTCTTCACCAGTATCATTTTATGTGTTATAGTCCAGTCTAATCTTTGTCTAAAGAGTTGGCTTCAGGAATGGTTTCAGTTCTGGGCTATCAGAGTGTCCCGGGGCCATGTCTTCCGGGGTCCCTCCAGTCCCTCTGAGATAATCTTTAAGCCTTAAAACAAAAATATCCCTTGAAGTCTTCTTAAAATCAAATAATTTAGCTTACCCAGTAAAAATGGTCTGCCTTGAACATTATGATCTTTTAAGATCTATATGGGATCAAAATGATAACAGCAACTTAAAAGATTAGACAGGAATCTTAGGAGGTAATGAGTTTATGTTAATGGGGAGAACAACTCAGAAAAGTAGGGTGAGAATGGTCACACAACTCAAAGAATGTAATCAATGTCACTGAATTGTACATGGAGAAACTGTTGAATTGGTATATGTTTTGCTATATATATTCTCAACAACAACAACAAAAATTTAGGAGAAAAAAAAGTATGGGAATGTGTGTGACCTACCAAGGGGGAGACTACGTATCTCTGATGGGGTAAAGGAACAGGTCTGAATCAAGATCTCTTAATCGGAACAGATTCCAAATCTCCTGTTGAAATTCACCTTTCATTAAGACTAACTCGTTAATACTACATATGAAGTCTGATGAGACTAAGAGAATAAGATGGTAAAGAATCTCTAACTAGCCAGGGAACACATGGTAAGTAAATACAACTGTCTGCACTTGGTATAATGTGGGAGAAAATACCTTGAGATGCACTGTCGAAGGACTTGATGAGGGTTTTGACAGTGGGGGTTGGCTCGGAGGACGTCGAAGACCTCCTACTCAGCCCCATCCCTTGTCGTAGGGCTGCCAGATCTCTCTCAACAGCATTCATGTAGTTATAGACCCGACCTCGCTCCTCCTCTTGCCTGAAAACAATATTTAAATCAGAGCATTCTTACTTATGCACTAGAAGACACATATTTTCCCCTCCCAACTACAAAACATTAGAAAGTATCTGTTAAAAACAAAAAACAGAAGTATCAGTGGACTAAATAAAGTACCTGGCCTAATGTTCTCATTTGCTGGCACATTCCAGGAAATGGTACTTACATTTTTATATCAGGTTACCCTAAGTAGGTTAAGTAACCATCAAATTCCATTGTCATCTGAGTAAGTGTAAGGTAAGGACACCAGCAGTCAATTAGCAGTGAAATGGGAGGCAGCCTGGCCAAAGATCCTGACTCAGAATGGGGAATCTGAGGTCCTGTGCAGGGAGAAGTCAGTCTTTCTTGGACGGTCTGTGCATTCACCAGCACATCTGCATGAGCTGCACTGGATCCATTGAAAATGCCAAGCACACACGTGGACATACAAAGAAAGGAAATCAAAGCCCACACTCTTAAAAAAGCAAAACAGCAAAACTGCTGCAGTCTCCAAATAGAATTTCTACAAAGAAAAAAAAAGCCAAGATCCATATTAGTAACATGACTCCCTGAGATACTTCAGTGTGATGGATAATGAGCCATCCAAAAAATCAATTCCATTTCCTTTCTGGCTGGCTCTAACTCACCGAACTGACTAACACAAAAGTTTTAGTCTGTAATGAGATTACAGTTGCAGAATTTCTACATGTCATGTAACTATCATGAAAATTTACAGATGGACAGAAATTACTCCAATCCTGAGGAAAATTTGTCTTTGATGCCTGTTGGCTCTTCCAGCAGGGTATTTTTCTCAAGATGCACCACAGGGTCTCATGCTCAGCCAGCCGTCATGATCAGAAGTTTTAATAAAGAATCAACAATAGCAACTATCAAATCTTTTGGTCTTAAAGTCCCTTTACACTCTTAAAAATTATTGAGGCTCTCAAAGAGCTTTTGTTTATATGGATTATGTCTATTGACTTTTACCATATTAGAAATTAAAGAAATACCTAAAATATTTAATTCTTAAAAATAAAACTAAAGTAGGACTTATTAACATAAACAACATATGTTTATGAAAAACGACTATTTTCCAAAACCAAAAAGATTAGTGGGAAGGGTGGTTCTGTATTACATTCTTGCAATCTCTTTAACATCTGGTTTCACTTCTGCATCCAGTCTACTGAGATATGAAAAGAAGGAGATCTCACATAGACGTGTAGTTGACAAGGGAAGACTATTTTAATAGTTTGTTCAGATAACTATGACTGTTTTTCTTTTACGTTGTTGTTAGGTGCCATTGAGACAGTTCCAGCTCATAGCAACCCTATGTACAAAAGAATGAAACACTGCCCAGTCCTGTGCCATCCTCCCAACTGTTGTTATGCTTGAGCCCGTTGTTGCAGCCACTGTGCCAAGCATCTCACTGAGGATCTTCCACTATTTCACTGACCCTCTACTTTACCATGCATGATGTCCCTTCTCGAAGGACTGGTACCTCTTGATAACGTCTAAAGTATGTGGGATGAAGTCTTATCAACCTTGCTTCTAAGAAGCATTTTGGCTGTACTTCTTCGAAGGCAGTCCATGGTATATTTAATATCCTTCGCCAACACCGTAATTCGAAGGCATCAATTCTTCTTCAGTCTTATTTATTATCCAGCTTTCACATGCATATGACGCAATTGAAAACACCATGGCTTGGGTCAGGTGCACCTTAGTTCTTAAAGTGACATTTTTGCTTTTTAGCACTTTAAAGAGGTCTTTTACAGCAGATTTGCCCAATACAATACAGTGTTCGATTTCTTGACTGCTGCCTCCATGGGCATTGATTGTGGATTCAATTTTTCTTTGATATTACAACAAAACTCAACAAATGGTAGCTACCTCACGGTTAGCTGCAGTATGGAAACCGAAACCCTCTCAATGAACTGTTCCTACGCTGTCCACTAAAATCCATGGGTCAATCTTTTGCTTTTAATGGATCTCCACCCACACTGGATTTTGTGGCATCATGCATTGGTTATATATTGGTAATACAAGTTTTATACTAGTAGAGAAAGAATAATCATCTTCTCCACTCCATGTTCTGCTTAAGGAAGCCAAAGAAAATGGTTTAGCAATACTTTTCTCTGAGCCATACACTTGAAAGCTAGAAAGATAGCATTCAAAAACATACTGTTGAATTATTTTCCTAAAATTTTTTCCTAGGTGTACTGAAGAATTACCCAAAGTAATGAATGATCTCAAACACAAACATTACTATCCCCTACTCATAGATGGAGTCTCATCATGGAGCTCAGCATGCATCACAAACCTCATCTCATCTAACTATTTTTATGGGTTTCCACTGGTCTCTATGTTAAATGGGAAAAATAATACTCTGGCTACACATATGGTATAAAACAGAACGAGTGAAAATTCCTCACTGAATGACGGGGAGGAACTCACTCTGTGTTCTCTACTATGGTTTTTAACATGCTAGCTAAAGTGTGCTGATCACTGCCCTACGCACTTCACAGGCATAACTTCATTAAATCCTTACTGCTGTAAAGCAGGTGGACTATCTCCATTTTCATGATGAGAAACTGAAGCTCGGGGAGATTGAAGGTCCTGCCAAGATCATACAGCTGATAAGAGGCAGAGCTGGGATAGGGCGAAGTCTGCCTCTGGAGCCCCATTCTAATCACGAAGCTATAGTGAAGAAAAATAACATGCTGGAGTGTGTGTGTGGCGGGGGGAGATGTGGACAGAGAATCGCTCTTGGTGACTGACAATGATGGTGACTCTGCAAGAGCCATATTGACAATGCTATTTCACAGGTGTCATAAAACAAGGCACAGAAAAGTTGAGTAACTTCCACTAGATCCAAACTCAGTCATACCAATATCAAGCCTCAAGTTCTTTCCATAACACCACATCACAAAACTGATTTACTGAAACACACAACTGATTTCTCAAGACATACTTGCGTGACTTTATCTCCTCTAGTTCTTTTGTGAGTTTCTCATTTTTTTCTTGAGTCTCGTGTAACCGGCGCTTCAGGTCGCCAATCTCCTCCTGGGCTTCAGATTTAATGTCATTTGCGATGACGACTGCAGTCTGGAGATCAGCTTGAAACTGCCGCCATTCCGCAGATTCTTCCTGTGTTAAAAAAGTAAATTTTTATTTCCAGAAGACAGCAATGAAGATTTATTTAAAAGCAATACAATTTGTTTATGATTAGACTCCTATAAAGCACTGTACTCCCTAAATGATGATTAACTTTTTAAAAATTCCATTACCAATTTCTACAGGTAAATGCCATCATTATCAGTGACCTTATTCCTGATGAGAAAAAGATTTTCTAGCTGGCCTCTCTACTAAAGCACCCAGCACTGAGTGCTCAGTAAACATTAACGATGACAATGTCAAGCCTCCCTTCCTCATGCAATTTCAAACAAGTCTTCTGAAAATAAACACATCATCCAAAATTCACAAAGCTTTACCTCTGAGAAGCTCAAGAAGGTATATAAATGTTGTGTGAACTATACTGAAAGGTTTTACAATGAAAAACTATAAATATCCTGACATCAAAAACTAACAGGGAAAAAAATTAAAAGTACAAGAAAAGGAAGACAAAGCAAGAAAAAAGACACTAAACGCAATACAGACAGGCAAAGTCCACCCAGAGCAGGTGAGGCGCTGTGAGCCCGGCTGTCTCCCACAGTCCTGGAGGATGCATACGGCTGGTGAGAAGTTCCCTGGGCCTCACCCTCCTTGGTAGCCACACTGCCAGGCCACTCTCAAGCACCTCCCCATACCACAGCAGTTCTTGAACACCGTGGAGGCAGGCTGAGCAGCCAGACCACGAGATGAGCTTTTCCCCACCTTCAGAATCACAGCAGCACTGGTACAGGCAAGCGGGTCAAATCCACAGAAAGAAATCTCTTGTGAAAACAACTTTGAGACATTTTATGGTCAAGAGCTAATAAACTTGATTTATATAACACTTGATCCCTAAATTCATCTTCTTAAAATGTTCAAATTCCACCTATAACTTACTAATAGATTCTTCTTCCTAGAGTCTAGCAAACTTAGATTCTTCTTCCCAGAATCTAGCACCAGTCCCAATTTGAAATAACAGATTTGCTAGCTGTAATGTCGTAACTGTATCTAAAGATGATTCAGAGCATACGGTATGACCACACCTCAACTTCCAGAAAGCTGGATTTTCTAAGGAGATAATGCATGAGGATTTACCCTACCCGCAGTCTCCTGTGGAGTGTCTTGATTTCTCTTTCCATGTCATGTTTTTGGTCCTGGAGTTTTTTAACTGTATCTGAAAAAACCACAAAAGTTAAAATTCTATTCCTAGACCTGTGTTCAAAAGGAATACTATAAAGGGAGGGGGCACTTAAATATGACATTCAAAGAAAAACTTTAAAAGAAAAAAGTGATGTTCATTCCAAGTCATTACTCAATTTTACACTCTACAGAAAATATCAAGTTTAAGTCACAATTTGTAGATCACAGTCTTCCTTAGTATCTCAATTCTGAAACAAAAAGTTAAATCAATTGTTAGAAACACACATTGTTGGTGCATCACCAATCAAAACAACACTGACTGCTATTAAAATGTGAACTGTTAATCACAATGCTTATTAATCCAAGGTATTTATGCAAGCATAATTTACACACTGGAATAAATTCCACTGAAGTGGTAAATTACTACAAAATTACAAATTTTGCTATTTAAATTAATTAGACAATTTTTTTTTTTACAAAATAAAGAATATATTTATAAAATAAAACAAAACAAAACCCACTGCCTTTGAGTCGATTCCAACTCATAGTGACCCTACAGGACAGAGCAGAGCTGCCCTCAAGTGTTTCCAAGGCTGTAAATCTTTACGGAAGCAGACTGCCACATCTTGCTCCTGCAGAGCAGCTGGTAGGTTCAAATCACTGACCTTTCAGTTAGCAGCTGAGTGCTTAACTACTGCCCCACCAGGGCTCCAAGTAAAACAATTTACTCCTCAAATTTTTTCTTGCATATTATAATTTTCTTAGAACAATTTCATCTACTCTATAAACATTTAATGAGTACCAATAACATGCAAAGTACCATTCTAGATATAGTAGAAATACAAAGACACAGCAATGTATCTCTTGGAACCAGAAATGTACAGGGAGGCACCATTTGACCTGGAGATTCTATTCATGCGTGAGAAGAGGGGTTTGGGAGGGCATCATGCCAGTGACCACCACCCACAGCTGGCAGCTCCCACAGCTCGGGAAACAGTCACTCTCCCTGTGGTTAAGCTCCAGAAAAGGACCCTCTACTCTGACTTTACTGCTTGCCCGCCCCCACCCTTTAGACCTGTGTGCTCTCCTCTGTGCTCCAACTCTGCCTTCTACAACCTTACAATAAGCTACTGCCAACATTCTTACATTTCTTCATAGATCTGTCTCAACCACTAGACTGAAAATGCTTCTAAGGCCAGAGATACATGGTGTCTTCACAGCCCTAACACCTGGTACATGACAGGCTTCTAAAATGGAATAAATGTATACACTGGTATAAACAAATGTTATCTGCCGTAGAGCTGGCCCCAAATCACTGCAACTCCTTGCACAATATAAGGAATCGCTGCCCAGTGCCGAGCCATCTCCATGGTGGGTTGTGGATCAGGCTGTTGTGATCCATAGGGTTGTCAATCGTTGATTTTCAGAGGGAGCTCAACAGGCCTTTCTTCCCAGTCCATCTTAATCTGGAAGCTCCACTGAAACCTGTTTAGAATCATAGCAACATGCAAGCCTCCACTAACAGATGGCTGGTGGCTGTGCATGAGGTGCACTGGTGAGGAACTGAACCCCAGCCTCCTGCATGGAAGGTGAGGATTCTACCACTGAACCACCACTGTCATAATAAATAAATAAATATATCAAGCTAATGGTAGCACCAAGAAAAAGCAATTCTAAAATCACTGCCTAAAGCTTTTTTAAAAAATTAATATTTATTATCTGGCACATTCTAGCTACAGACACTGGGGTTTCCGAGTAAATAACATTCCCTCCCATTCCTTACACTTAGGAGCAGGAACCCAGCACAGTGAACAGCTTTGTACACTGACACCTAAACCAACAACCAATCCCCTTAAGCTAGCAGACTACCAGCTTTGACTTCAGCCCCTGAAGTAAAGGCATACAATGTTCTTAGCTTACTCGCTACTTTTCCTTGTGCCAGGTCCATCAGGATGTTGCTCTGCTGAGGTCTTTGGGACACAATGCCACAACTTAGTGATGGCACATTTGTATTCTGATACTTTAACATGACATGATTTCACTTCAGTAACAACATAAAAAGCCCAGTTATTAACAATAATTACATAAATAAAATTATTATATTTATTATAATTAATAATATAATTATTGTTATATTTTCTAAAGCTGGGTAAAAAAATAAATGAGATAAAATGTGGAGGCGAGAAAAATTTACCAATTCTAGTAGCCAGTAATAAATTTCCTCCCATTCACTGTCCCAAAACTACTGAACAAAGTTGTTGATAGGTGCTGTCAAGTTGGTTTCAACTCATAGCAACCCTATGTACAACAGAATGAAACAATGCCCAGTCCTACGCCATCCTATCATCATTATGCTTGAGTCCATTGTTGCAGACGCTTTGTCAGTCCATCTCGTTGAGGGTCTTCCTCTCTTTCGCTGACCCTCTGCTTTACCAAATATGATGTCCTTCTCCAGGGACTGGTCCCACCTGATAGCATGTCCAAAGTATGTGGGACTAAGTCTTGTCATCCTTGCTTCCAATGGGCATTCTGGCTGTACTTCTTCCAAGACAGATTTGTTCGTTCTTCTGGCAGTCCATGGTATACTCAATATTCTTCACCAACACCATAATTCAAAGTAATCAATTCTTCTTCGGTCTTCTGTATTCATTGTCCAACTTTCACATGCATATGAGGCGACTGAAAACACCATGGCTTGGATCAGATGCACCTTAGTCAGTGACATCTTTCTTTTTTAACACTTTAAAGAGGCCTTTTGCAGCAGATTTGCCCAATGCAATGCATCGTTTGATTTCCTGACTGCTGCTTCCATAAGCGTTGATTGTGGATTCAAGTAAAACGAAATCCTTTACAACTTCAATATTTTCTCCATTTATCACGATGTTGCTTATTGATCCAGTTGTGAGGATTTTTGTTTTCTTTATGTTGAGGTATAATCCATACTGAAGACTGTAGTCTTTTTGTGTGTATGTGTGTGTGTGTGTGCTTTAAGTGAAAGTTTACAATTCAAGTTAGTCTCTCATACAAAAATTTATACATTGTTATGTGACCCTAATTGCTCTCCCTATACTGTGACAGCACACTCCTCCTTTCCACCTCTGATTTCCCGTGTCCATTCAACCAGCTCCTGAACCTGTCTGCCTTCTCATCTCACCTCCGGCCAAAAGCTACCCATTTAGTCTCACATATCTACTCGAGCTAAGAAGCACACTCTTCACGAGTATCATTTTATGTCCCATAGTCCAGTTCAATCTTTGTCTTAAGAGTTGGCCTTGAGAATGGTTTTAGTTCCGGGTTGACAGAGAGTCCAGGGGCAATGCTTTCTGGGGTTCCTCCAGTCTCAGTCAGACGATTAAGTCTGGTCTTCTTACTAGAATTTGAGTTCTGCACCCCACTTTTCTCCTGCTCCATCAGGGACTCTCTGTTGTGTTCCCTGTCAGGGTGGTCATTGGTGGCAGCTGGGCACCATCTACTTCTTCTGGTCTCAGGCTGATGAAGTCTCTGGTTTATGTGGCCCTTTCTGTCTCTTGGGCTAATACTTTCCTTGTGTCTATGGTGTTCTTCATTCTCTGTTACTCCAGGTGGGCTGGGACCAACTGATGCATCTTAGGTGGCCATTCACTAGCTTTTAAGATGCCAGATGCCACTCACCAAAGTGGGATGCAGAACATTTTCTTAAAAAACTTTGTAATGCCAATCGACCTAGATGTCCCCTGAAACCATGGTCCCCAGACCCCTAACCCTACTACTCTGTCCCTCGAAGTGTTTGGTTGTGTTCAGGAAACTTCTTAGCTCTGGTTTAGTCCTGTTGTGCTGACTTCCCCTGTAGTGTGTGCTGTTCTTCCTGAAGGCTGTAGTCTTTGATCTTTATCAGTAAGTGCTTCAAGTTCTCTTCATTTTCAGCAAGCAAAGTTGTGCTATCTGCACATCACAGGTTGTTAATGAGTGTTCTCCAATCTTGATGCCATGTTCTTTATCATACAGCCCAGTTTCTTGGATTATTTGCTCAGCATACAGACTGAATAAGTATGGTGACAACATACAACCCTGATACACACCTTTCTTGACTTTAAACCATGTAGTTAGGGCCTATGAAATAAAAGGCATTCAAAATATACTCGCTAATTCAACAAATATCTCTGAAGTGCCCACTTTGTATCAGGCTTTGTTCTAGGTGCTGAAGATAGGAGGGAAAGGAAAAAAAGAGATAGTCTGGCCCTCTTGGACACAGGCCAATCTTGTGTCTAGCTGGCAACAGAGGTTGTTTCCACATGTGAAATTCTAGAAAAGGATGAAAATCTGTCTCCTATACAAGCTACTTCAGAACTCACCTATCCAACCTCACTTAACCTGGAAACTCAGGGTTCCACAGGCCATCTGGCTGGCTGAGGGCAGAGCAGATACCACGTTGAGTGGGCGTCCAGTGCCCCGATCCATTCTGATGGTAGAGATGGCTCTGGACCCACAGAGGGCTATGGGTCCTCTGGCCTCATACCTGGATAGATCCAGAGTCTCAGCAATCAGGCACAGTGATGAAAGAAGCTGAGGGATTTTAATGTTGAGAACACATGGGGTTACACCTTTCATTTACACTATAGCAACTGACATGCAAGAAATATTTGATTAAAGCAAGCAAGCAAACAAAAAATGTTAGGGATATAATTTTGCCTCTCTGCTGAATACTGTTTTCCTTTCTGTTCTTCTAGTCACAAAGGGCATATCTACAACTATCTTTTAGATATAATTCACACAAGAAAAATGACAGCAAATCTTACTCTGGCTCACTTACTGGCATCTTGATTCTCAGGTGACACCTTAAACTGTACGGCCATCTTATACTGATCATAAAATTCCAAAGTTCATTCATTTCTTTTGTTTTGTCCTTTTTTTTCCCTTTAGCAACTCTTATCCATGGCTGTGGGAGCCAAATAATCACTGTTCTTAAAAGGCCCTTTTTCTGCACCTGCCACTACAGGTTTATCACTACAAAGTCTTAAGTCTGCTCCCTTTGAAGAGAACTTGGCAGCCAGTGGA